CCTGCTCCCCCTCCCCCCTCCCCGCTCCCATCACCCCCACCGCCCAGCGGCCTCACACCGTGGCCGGCTTCTCTCCCAACACTCACTACTTCCTTTTCTCCTGGTGGCCAGTAACACTCTGGGCCTCTTTACCTCCTGCGCAACACCCTCATTCAACACTCTCACAAGACTGTAAAATTCAGTTGATATCAGTTTCAGAATGTGGTAATTCTAGCTTTCCCCTAACAGATTCCTTCTTTCCACTTCGTTTTGGTAAAGTTCCCCTTCTTGTTCTGAAGAACTTGGGTAAGTTCCTTTATATTCTCTGTTCATCTTATAAAGACTCTTCTTTTCTTTGTTTACAGAGTTCGTAGAGAGCCCTGAAACTGAGCACATTACTGCTGCAGTGTTGACGGAGTTAACGTCCTCTTGTTCAGAGTGTTTGTTCCATAATGATGCAACCACTATTTGTCTGCTACCCTGCTCTTCATCGTTGCCTGACGTATCGAGCCAACTGAGGGAACCTCTGAGAGGACATTGGCCCCGCGTCCCTCTGTAGAGGCCTGGGTGAGATGATGCAGGTTCCGCCTCTCGTCCTGACTGTAGTACAATGAGTCGGACTCAAGCATGCGTCATATGCCATCTCTTCCCCATTAGCCACAGTGCTCCACTAACATCTTGCCGTCGAGAGAAGCCTTGATGAAGAGTCGCGCAAGTTTTTCCGATTCTATAATTGGAGGGGTTGGTTGGCAGGTTGTTTATAGTTCTTATCATTGCTATTACTATTGGGAACCATTGTTTTCTCATCCCTCAAGAAGATCGCCTTGTAGAAGTTTCAAACTTAGTGAAACACTTTCTGACAAAAATTACTGTCTGGTTTGTGGAGACCATGCGTTACAGTCTATCACTCATGGAGATTTACTGGCATACACTAGGAGATTGTCGAAACATTTTGTGTTGTGAAGCATAATGAATCACTATTGTGTTAACATTTCATCTGTTGCAGTACAGGTCAGGAGTGGTGATATTCGCACCTCAACTAGAACTAGGCGTATGGGAAGGTGGGGGAGAAGCAGAGCGAAGAGTGATATGAGCTGGTGGACATCTCTCATGGATACCCTCCAACCCTCCTCTCCTCCGCTAAACTGGAGGAGATGTATTGAGTTTCCCCCCTTTCGGCCTCTGCCCCGCCCCCAGTCAGCCCTCCCCACCATCCCTCACCCTCATACGATGCTGACACAGAGGAGAAAGACACTCCGTCTATATGTCATTCCTGAGATATGTGACCTCTACTTTCGTGTGCCATGGCGTGAATTTGACTGCAGCTTGTTACAATAGTTTTTTGTGAGCTCATCCCAACTCTATGATCAGATGCACAGGTCACGCGTACACAAAATCGTATGCCGTGCGCCCCCGAAGCGGAAACAAGCGTTTGGTATAAATTATTGAACTCTACAAGTTTTCGCCGCCCTCCCATCCCCATAGTTTCACTCCCTCAACCCCCACAATACTGGTATATAATAATGTACCAACTGATATTTTTCATTATTTGCAGGCACGTGGGAAATGAATGACAAACCAACCAGGACCTAGTTGTTTAACTAAGTTGGAGGATTTTTGTTTCAGTTTTCAAATTATTCAACCAACTGGACTACCACATACATCATCATCATCATCACTAGAGGACAGATATTTGAATCATAAAGTCCTTATGAAAATCTGGCAGATGGCAGACAACCGTCATCCCTAATAAGTACACCGTAGTTAGTGACACCTTATGGCAATTGCTTTATGCTTCGTTAGTGGGTTAGAATGTACCTTTGCTCGCAATTAAGCAGGTTTGAATTACGTTGGCTACACTAACTTGGTTGATTTGGAGATCATTTTTAATAATCCAGCTCACAAGGTGGTGTGTGTCTGTAGCTATGGTATATCATAAATTTATGCTGTGTGCAGACTCACTGTAGAAGACTGAAGAAGACAGGGAAACACTCGGGAATGGAGGCAATACACTAGAGTCCAGCAGTGACCTGCATTCTTGACGAGAATATTAGAAACATGGATGCCCGACGTGTGCATTATCAAACAATCCACCACAGAGACATAACAGAAAGGAAAGCACAATATAAGAGAGGTCAGGGGTAAAGAAAAAGTGAAGGAGGGAGAGAGGGCAGGGGCGGGCAAACATTACTAGGCCTACCTTCTAGTCGGGACACAGATCTCTCTGGCTGGGAGAGGCTCTGATACGAAGAACTGGGAGCCTCCCGACGGCCGGAGGAGGTCCTCGCGGACAGAGGGATCTGAAACTCCATGACGCGGCCCTCTCCCCAAATTTGCAGGCGTAAGCAAGTTTTTTTCCCGCGCGTGGCGTACTATGGGAACGTTGACCCTGTGCGCATGCGCGAAATAAGCAGCTGCTATTTTCACCGGAAGCGATTCGACTGGATAGACACGAGAGCTATTCTGGGATTGTTGCGCGATGGATTCGAGATATTTGTTTAGCTCTGTGTCTCTCTGTGGTCTGGAGGTCGACTGTCAGACTTCCCTTCCCTTAGTCTCCTTATCCAAGGAGCTGGGCTACCTAACCATAGTTATGTAGACCTTGGAACAGTGGGGATATAGCACCAGTGTTTGGTGTCGCACTGATTGATGACTTGTTGCGAAAATACATAGTCCTCCATCGTGGACAATGGTTTTTCCCTGAACATTTTTACCCTGCGATGGATTCGAGATTTGTGCTTGCGTTGAGCCTCCTCTGTGGTCTGGAGGTCGACTGTCAAACTTTCCCTTATGTCTCCTTATCCATTGGAGTTGGGCTACCTAATCATAGTTATGTAGACCTTGGAGCAGTGGGGACAGATTTTAGCACCAGTGTTTGGTGCCACACTGATCTGGAGACTTGTTGCAGAAATGATGAAGGTCCCCATCGTGGACAATGGTTTTTCCCTGATGGTGTAGCTCTGCAGACAAATGGAGATATTTATATGTTTGAAAAACCTCAGAGAGTTGAACTACGTCGTGCAAATAGTGCCAATTCCCCAACTGGTATATATCGTTGTGAGATTCCAACCATTGAAGTCCATGATGAAAACGATACAGTGAGAGCCACAGTCTATGTGGGACTGTATACCAATGAAGGTAAATTTGTTAGCTAAGCGTATCTAAAAAATTTACACTCTGCAATGCCAAATTGCTTGACCATTTTGGCTGTATGCATAAAAATCCTGCACGTCCTGTACTTATAAGTATGGTAGCTACAATGACCAAAGACGATGGTAAGGCTTTCTTCTGACAATAGGAGGGGGCATCTCAATATCTGGAGGAGTGACATTTGACCCAGACCAGCTGACCCTCACCTGTATCTCCACTGGTGGACCTGCTACCACTGTCACTTGGACCAGAGACTCCACCACTGTCACCCAAGGAACTGAGAGTGCGCTGAATGACCCAGTGACTGCACAGTACACCCACACTCTGACTGTGACTGCTTTGGGAACATACACATGTACTGTGTCTAATGACAAGCCCTCTACTGCATCAGCTAAGATCGCATTAGGTATTAAAATTATATCCCTTTTCAATCACAAGCATGCAGAGCTGAAATTTGTCAGGTCCATCTGATGTGACAGCAGTCCAAGATAGTCCTACTAGCATCGGAGTTAGCTGGACTCCTCCCTCACAACCGGTTGGTATCACTGGCTATCGTATCTCTTACACTGGAGGAAGCAGTGTGAATATTACTGGTGAAGATAGCTACAGACTAACTCAACTTACTAATGGAGAGACCTATACCATTACTATAAGAGCCACATCAACGATTTTAAGTGAAAGTGTTCATAGAGCTGATGTTCCTTTGGGTAAGTACAATTTCTATGGCTTGTATGCAAATAATAAATAATGAGGTTTTTCACAGTTCCATTTCCAGCTCCATCTCTGCAAGAATCTTCAGTCACTGACACTACTATAACCATCACTGGTAGTGTTCCCACTGGCTCAGTGGTGACTGGCTTTATTGTCCAATGGGAAAGAGACATGTCAATTGGATGTTCCAATAGGAATCAGCGAAGTTTTGCTGTGAATCAAGGTTTTAGTGGTTCATACAGAATAACTGGACTAGAGCCAGGGAATAGGTACACCATTACTGTGACAGTCTTCAATGCAGCTGGCAGTGGTCCAGTCAGTAATGCTGTAACTGCAACAACTATGGAGACAGGTAAGAGGCTCAGTCAATATTGTATGACTTATCCCTGTTATTCGTTGTTGTTAATAATCAGATCCTACACTAGGTCCCACCTCAGTCAGAATTGGTACAGTCACTGCCAGTAGTATAACTGTCCATTGGGGAGAGGTGTCTTGTCTTGACCGTAATGGAGAGATAACTGGCTACAGAGCACATGTGAGAAATGGAATGGCAGAAGGAACTGCTAGTGTTGGTGGCAGTGCTAGACAGGCTACAATCTCTGGATTGTCTCCATCAACCTCGTACTCTGTTCAAGTGGCAGCAATGAATGGTGCTGGTACTGGACCATACAGCTCTGGTGTATATGTCAGGACTAATGGTGAGTTTAAGGCTCAAAAGTAAAGTATTATGAGTGGAAATAACTGAGTCTCAATGATCTGCAGTGAGGGGTGAGAATGTTTGGACAGTGTATATAGGCAAAAAGCCATTCCTAAGGGTCTACTAACTGCTGAGGCATGAAGGCATGCCCACTAAGCTGTGTACACAACATCCATTACCTCACAAAACACTTTTGGCTTTATATATGTGTATGCCATGAGGACAGGTTTTCTCTGCCTTAGGATAAACCTTTTCTCAACAGATGGACTTAGTACCAAGTTATCTCATCTATACTCTCTGACCATCTCATGGACACTGGAGGGGACTTTGACAGCTACTGGCTACAACATCTCCTACTCCAACACTAAAACACTGACTGTTTCACTGACTCCAGAAGTGGCATAACTACTAGTGGGAACATCATATCAACTGACTGGTCTAGAGGAGGGAACTCGAGTATTCTATCACTGTCACTGCACTCTGACTGGGGAAGGACTGAGATACATCACAGCACAACAAGAACTTGCTGGTCAGTCTATCTCTCAGTCTCTTTACTCATTCTCAACCTTCTCACTACAGCTCCATTCTGCCCCTCCTATCTCTGTGAGGTTGTCAGTGGTCAGTTCCACTAGTATCTAGTCAGGTGCCAATGGACCTGCAGCATCGGAATGGAGAGATAACAAGCTAACTATGTGAGGTATGGGAGAAGGGAGGTGACAGACACTCAGGTTTCACTCTGGAGATCTCCAGTGGAGGATGATCACACTCAGTGGACTGACTAAACAGACAGTCTACACAGTTGAAGTGGATCTGGTGGACATCTCTCATCGGAGAACCTCCTCCCCCTCCAGTCAAACTGGAGGAGATGTATGAGGTTCCCGATCATCCTCTGCCCCTCCCCCCAGTCAGCCCCCCCACCCATCCATCTCCACTCACTACTTGATGCTGACACTGTGGAGAAAGACACACGGCGTCCTATGATTTCATTCCCTGGAGATATTTTGACTCTAATTCATGGCATGGTGTGACTCTTGACTGTATATACTTGTCACAATATAATTGGTAGTTTTCTGTAGCTATAATAGCTAGCTAGCTCTCGGTACGGTGTTGTTTTATAATGAATGCGCCGAGCGCATGCGCAATTCCGTACACCGCGCGCCCCCGGGCCGGA